GCCATACTGGTGCCATACTGGTGCCATACTGGTGCCATACTGGTGCCATACTGGTGCCATACTGGTGCCATACTGGTGCCATACTGGTGCCATACTGGTGCCATACTGGTGCCATACTGGTGCCATACTGGTACCATACTGGTACCATACTGGTGCCATACTGGTGCCATACTGGTGCCATACTGGTGCCATACTGGTACCATACTGGTGCCATACTGGTACCATACTGGTACCATACTGGTGCCATACTGGTGCCATACTGGTGCCATACTGGTACCATACTGGTGCCATACTGGTGCCATACTGGTACCATACTGGTGCCATACTGGTGCCATACTGGTGCCATACTGGTGCCATACTGGTGCCATACTGGTGCCATACTGGTGCCATACTGGTGCCATACTGGTGCCATACTGGTGCCATACTGGTACCATACTGGTGCCATACTGGTGCCATACTGGTGCCATACTGGTACCATACTGGTGCCATACTGGTGCCATACTGGTGCCATACTGGTGCCATACTGGTGCCATACTGGTGCCATACTGGTGCCATACTGGTGCCATACTGGTGCCATACTGGTGCCATACTGGTCCATACTGGTGCCATACTGGTGCCATACTGGTGCCATACTGGTACCATACTGGTGCCATACTGGTGCCATACTGGTACCATACTGGTGCCATACTGGTGCCATACTGGTGCCATACTGGTGCCATACTGGTGTCATACTGGTGCCATACTGGTGCCATACTGGTGCCATACTGGTGCCATACTGGTGCCATACTGGTGCCATACTGGTGCCATACTGGTACCATACTGGTGCCATACTGGTGCCATACTGGTGCCATACTGGTGCCATACTGGTACCATACTGGTGCCATACTGGTGCCATACTGGTGCCATACTGGTGCCATACTGGGTGGAAGGCACCAGTAATGTCCAGTGTTACTACACACGTGATCTTGGTTTCAAGTCTATCTGCTACACGAGGGTCATTAAGGCTGCATGTCACCTGTGCACCACCAGTCAAGAATACTTTAATACCTAAAATACTGATTAATGTGATCCACCACCACTGAGTGGTGTATATCTCAGTGTATATACATTGAAAGGTGTATATCTCAGTGTATATACACTGAGTGGTGTATATCTCAGTGTATATACACTGAGTGGTGTATATCTCAGTGTATATACACTGAAAAGTGTATATCTCAGTGTATATACACTGAGTGGTGTATATCTCAGTGTATATACACTGAGTGGTGTATATATCAGTGTATATACACTGAAAAGTGTATATCTCAGTGTATATACACTGAGTGGTGTATATCTCAGTGTATATACACTGAGTGGTGTATATCTCAGTGTATATACACTGAGTGGTGTATATCTCAGTGTATATTCACTGAGTGATGTATATCTCAGTGTATATACACTGAGTGGTGTATATCTCAGTGTATATACACTGAGTGGTGGATATCTCAGTGTATATACAGTGAGTGGTGTATATCTCAGTGTATATACACTGAAAAGTGTATATCTCAGTGTATATACACTGAGTGGTGTATATCTCAGTGTATATACACTGAAAAGTGTATATCTCAGTGTATATACACTGAAAGGTGTATATCTCAGTGTATATACACTGAAAAGTGTATATCTCAGTGTATATACACTGAAAGGTGTATATCTCAGTGTATATACACTGAAAGGTGTATATCTCAGTGTATATACACTGAAAGGTGTATATCTCAGTGTATATACACTGAGTGGTGTATATCTCAGTGTATATACACTGAGTGGTGTATATCTCAGTGTATATACACTGAAAGGTGTATATCTCAGTGTATATACACTGAAAAGTGTATATCTCAGTGTATATACACTGAAAGGTGTATATCTCAGTGTATATACACTGAAAGGTGTATATCTCAGTGTATATACACTGAAAGGTGTATATCTCAGTGTATATACACTGAGTGGTGTATATCTCAGTGTAAATACACTGAAAGGTGTATATCTCAGTGTATATACACTGAAAAGTGTATATCTCAGTGTATATACACTGAAAGATGTATATCTCAGTGTATATACACTGAAAGGTGTATATCTCAGTGTATATACACTGAAAGGTGTATATCTCAGTGTATATACACTGAGTGGTGCATATCTCAGTGTATATACACTGAGTGGTGTATATCTCAGTGTATATACACTGAAAGGTGTATATCTCAGTGTATATACACTGAAAAGTGTATATCTCAGTGTATATACACTGAAAGGTGTATATCTCAGTGTATATACACTGAAAGGTGTATATCTCAGTGTATATACACTGAGAGGTGTATATCTCAGTGTATATACACTGAGTGGTGTATATCTCAGTGTATATACACTGAAAGGTGTATATCTCTTGTATTAGATAGATTTAATGACCCTCGTGTAGTAGATAGACTTGACGGCCATGGTGTAGTAGACAGACTTGAAACCTAATACCCCAACCCTCGTTGTTGCTGTACTGCAGTTGTGTAACACAGTGTTAGTGTTACAGGGTAACACAGTGTTAGTGTTACAGGGAAACACAGTGTTAGTGTTACAGGGTAACACAGTGTTAGTGTTACAGGGTAACACAGTGTTAGTGTTACAGGGTAACACAGTGTTAGTGTTACAGGGAAACACAGTGTTAGTGTTACAGGGAAACACAGTGTTAGTGTTACAGGGTAACACAGTGTTATTGTTACAGGGTAACACAGTGTTAGTGTTACAGGGTAACACAGAGTTAGTGTTACAGGGTAACACAGTGTTAGTGTTACAGGGTAACACAGTGTTAGTGTTACAGGGTAACACAGTGTTAGTGTTACAGGGTAACACAGTGTTAGTGTTACAGGGTAACACAGTGTTAGTGTTACAAGGTAACACAGTGTTAGTGTTACAGGGAAACACAGTGTTAGTGTTACAGGGTAACACAGTGTTAGTGTTACAGGGTAACACAGTGTTAGTGTTACAGGGTAACACAGAGTTAGTGTTACAGGGTAACACAGTGTTAGTGTTACAGGGTAACACAGTGTTAGTGTTACAGGGAAACACAGTGTTAGTGTTACAGGGTAACACAGTGTTAGTGTTACAGGGTAACACAGTGTTAGTGTTACAGGGTAACACAGTGTTAGTGTTACAGGGTAACACAGTGTTAGTGTTACAGGGTAACACAGTGTTAGTGTTACAGGGTAACACAGTGTTAGTGTTACAGAGTAACACAGTGTTAGTGTTACAGGGTAACACAGTGTTAGTGTTACAGGGTAACACAGTGTTAGTGTTACAGGGTAACACAGTGTTAGTGTTACAGGGTAACACAGTGTTAGTGTTACAGGGAAACACAGTGTTAGTGTTACAGGGTAACACAGTGTTAGTGTTACAGGGTAACACAGTGTTAGTGTTACAGGGTAACACAGTGTTAGTGTTACAGGGTAACACAGTAACACTCATCACCAGTGTTCTGACGTACGGATGATTTGCATAAATTTGCATACTCTAAATATAAGTTTGAGGCCTCAAGTTGTGAGAGACAGCGAGAGACAGAGACAGACAGAGAGGGACAGAGAGAGACATAGAGGGACAGAGAGAGACAGAGAGGAACAGAGAGAGACAGAGAGGGACAGAGACAGAGAGGGACAGAGAGAGACAGAGAGGGACAGAGACAGACAGAGAGGGACAGAGAGAGACATAGAGGGACAGAGAGAGACAGAGAGGGACAGAGACAGACAGAGAGGGACAGAGAGAGACATAGAGGGACAGAGAGAGACAGAGAGAGACAGAGATTGAGAATTTCGTTGTGTTTGTTTATATTGGCATAATGCTCACTATCAAAGCTCACAGACACAAAGCTCACCAAGCTCTCTGTGTGTCACCATCACAAACACAGCTCACTAACCAAGCTCTCTCTGTGTGTCACCATCACAAACACAGCTCACTAACCAAGCTCTCTGTGTGTGTCACCATCACAAACACAGCTCACTAACCAAGCTCTCTGTGTGTGTCACCATCACTAACACAGCTCACTAACCAAGCTCTCTGTGTGTGTCACCATCACAAACACAGCTCACTAACCAAGCTCTCTGTGTGTGTCACCATCACAAACACAGCTCACTAACCAAGCTCTCTGTGTGTGTCACCATCACAAACACAGCTCACTAACCAAGCTCTCTGTGTGTGTCACCATCACAAACACAGCTCACTAACCAAGCTCTCTGTGTGTGTCACCATCACTAACACAGCTCACTAACCAAGCTCTCTGTGTGTGTCACCATCACAGACACAGCTCACTAACCAAGCTCTCTGTGTGTGTCACCATCACAAACACAGCTCACTAACCAAGCTCTCTGTGTGTGTCACCATCACAGACACAGCTCACTAACAAGCTCTCTGTGTGTGTCACCATCACAAACACAGCTCACTAACCAACTCTCTGTGTGTTCACCATCACTAACACAGCTCACTAACCTACCTCTCTGTGTGTTCACCATCACTAACACAGCTCACTAACCAAGCTCTCTGTGTGTGTCACCATCACTAACACAGCTCACTAACCAAGCTCTCTGTGTGTGTCACCATCACTAACACAGCTCACTAACCAAGCTCTCTGTGTGTCACCATCACTAACACAGCTCACTAACCAAGCTCTCTGTGTGTGTCACCATCACTAATACAGCTCACTAACGTACCTCTCTGTGTGTTTCACCATCACTAACACAGCTCACTAACCTATCTCTCTGTGTGTCACCATCACTAACACAGCTCACTAACCTATCTCTCTGTGTGTCACCATCACTAACACAGCTCACTAACCTATCTCTCTGTGTGTCACCATCACTAACACAGCTCACTAACCAAGCTCTCTGTGTGTTTCACCATCACTAACACAGCTCACTAACCTACCTCTCTGTGTGTTTCACCATCACTAACACAGCTCACTAACCTACCTCTCTGTGTGTCACCATCAGGTTCACCATCATAGACACAGTCCTGATCAACGAGGCAGAGGAGGACCTAGCTGTGGTAGCGGACAGTGAGGCTCGCATTATGCTGCTCTACTCTACCAAGGAGGAGGCTCGCTACATCATGCGCTCTGCGGAGGGTCTAGGACTGACTGGCAAGAACTATGTCTGGATCGTCACTCAGTCGGTGGTGGGACCCACCGATACTGGTCCCAATGAGTTCCCGGTCGGCATGTTGGGTAAGTTGTGATGTTGTTGTGTGTGTGTGTGTGTGTGTGTGTGTGTGTTTGTGTGTGTGTGTGTGTGTGTTTGTGTGTGTGTGTGTGTGTGTGTGTGTGTGTGTGTTTGTGTGTGTTTTTGTGTGTGTGTGTGTTTTGTGTGGTGTTTGTGTGTGTGTGTGTGTGTGTTTGTGTGTGTGGTGTGTGTGTGTGTGTTGTGTGTGGTGTGTGTGTGTGTGTGTGTGTGTTGTGTGTGTGTGTGTGTTGTGTGTACTCACCTAGTTGAGGTTGCGGGGTAGAGTCCGAGCTCCTGGCCCCGCCTCTTCACTGGTCGCTACTAGGTCACTCTCCCTGAGCCGTGAGCTTTATCAAACCTCTGCTTAAAGCTATGTATGGATCCTGCCTCCACTACATCGCTTCCCAAACTATTCCACTTCCTGACTACTCTGTGGCTGAAGAAATACTTCCTAACATCCCTGTGATTCATCTGTGTCTTCAACTTCCAACTGTGTCCCCTTGTTACTGTGTCCAATCTCTGGAACATCCTGTCTTTGTCCCACCTTGTCAATTCCTCTCAGTATTTGTATGTCGTTATCATGTCCCCCCTATCTCTCCTGTCCTCCAGTGTCGTCCAGGTTGATTTCCCTTAACCTCTCCTCGTAGGACATACCTCTTAGCTCTGGGACTAGTCTTGTTGCAAACCTTTGCAATTTCTCTAGTTTCTTTACATGCTTGGCTAGGTGTGGGTTCCAAACTGGTGCCGCATACTCCACTATGGGCCTAACGTACACGGTGTACAGGGTCCTGAATGATTCCTTATTAAGATGTCGGAATGCTGTTCTGAGGTTTGCTAGGCGCCCATATGCTGCAGCAGTTATTTGGTTGATGTGCGCTTCAGGAGATGTGCCTGGTGTTATACTCACCCCAAGATCTTTTTCCTTGAGTGAGGTTTGTAGTCTCTGGCCCCCTAGACTGTACTCCGTCTGCGGTCTTCTTTGCCCTTCCCCAATCTTCATGACTTTGCACTTCGTGGGGTTCAACTCCAGAAGCCAATTGCTGGACCAGGTCTGCAGCCTGTCCAGATCCCTTTGTAGTTCTGCCTGGTCTTCGGCCGAATGAATTCTTCTCATCAACTTCACGTCATCTGCAAACAGGGACACCTCAGAGTCTATTCCTTCCGTCATGTCGTTCACAAATACCAGAAACAGCGCTGGTCGTAGGACTGACCCCTGTGGGACCCCGCTGGTCACAGGTGCCCACTCTGACACCTCGCCACGTACCATGACTCGCTGCTGTCTTCCTGACAAGTATTCCGTGATCCATTGTAGTGCCTTCCCTGTTATCCCTGCTTGGTACTCCAGTTTTTGCAGTAATCTCTTGTGTGGAACTGTGTCAAACGCCTTCTTGCAGTCCAAGAAAATGCAATCCACCCACCCCTCTCTCTCTTGTCTTACTGCTGTCACCATGTCATAGAACTCCAGTAGGTTTGTGACACAGGATTTCCTGTCCCTGAAACCATGTTGGCTGCTGTTGATGAGATCATTCCTTTCTAGCTGTTCCACCACTCTTCTCCTGATAATCTTCTCCATGATTTTGCATACTATACATGTCAGTGACACTGGTCTGTAGTTTAGTGCTTCATGTCTGTCTCCTTTTTTAAAGATTGGGACTACATTTGCTGTCTTCCATGCCTCAGGCAATCTCCCTGTTTCGATAGATGTATTGAATATTGTTGTTTGGGGTGCACATAGCGCCTCTGCTCCCTCTCTCAATACCCTTGGGGAGATGTTATCTGGCCCCATTGCCTTTGAGGTATCTAGCTCACTCAGAAGCCTCTTCACTTCTTCCTCGGTTGTGTGCACTGTGTCCAGCACTTGGTGGTGTGCCCCACCTCTCCGTCTTTCTGGAGTCCCTTCTGTCTCCTCTGTGAACACTTCTTTGAATCTCTTGTTGAGTTCCTCACATACTTCACGGTCATTTCTTGTTGTCTCTCCTCCTTCCTTCCTTAGCCTGATTACCTGGTCCTTGACTGTTGTTTTCCTCCTGATGTGGCTATATAACAGCTTCGGGTCAGATTTGGCTTTCGCTGCTATGTCGTTTTCATATTGTCGTTGGGCCTCCCTTCTTATCTCTGCATATTCGTTTCTGGCTCTACGACTGCTCTCCTTATTCTCCTGGGTCCTTTGCCTTCTATATTGCTTCCATTCCCTAGCACACTTGGTTTTTGCCTCCCTGAACCTTTGGGTGAACCATGGGCTCATCCTGGCTTTTTCATTATTCCTGTTACACTTGGGTACAAACCTCTCCTCAGCCTCCTTGCACATTGTTGCTACATATTCCATCATCTCATTAACTGGCTTCCCTGCCTGGTCTCTGTCCCACTGAACCCCGTTCAGAAAGTGTGTGTGTGTGTGTGTGTGTGTGTGTGTGTGTGTGTGTGTGTGTGTGTGTGTGTGTGTGTGTGTGTTTGTGTGTGTGTGTGTGAGTGTGTGTGTGAGTGTGTGTGTGGTGTGTGTGTGTGTGTGTTTTGTGTGTGTGTGTGTGTGTGTGTGTGTGTGTGTGTGTGTGTGTGTGTGTGTGTTTGTGTGTGTGTGTGTGAGTGTGTGTGTGATGTGTGTGTGTGTGTGTGTGTGTGTGTGTGTTTGTGTGTGTGTGTGTGTGTGTGTGTGTGTGTGTGTGTGTGTGTGTGTGTGTGTGTGTGGTGTGTGTGTGTGTGTGTACTCACTCACCTAGTTGAGGTTGCGGGAGTCGAGTCCGAGCTCCTGCCCCGTGTGTGTATGATGTGTGTGTGTGTGTGTGTGTGTGTGTGTGTGTGTGTGTGTGTGTGTGTGTGTGTGTGTGTGTGTGTGTGTGTGTGACTCACTCACCTAGTTGAGGTTGCGGGAGTCGAGTCCGAGCTCCTGGCCCCGTGTGTGTATGAGTGTGTGTGTGTGTGTGTGTGTGTGAGTGTGTGTGTGTGTGTGTGTGAGTGTGTGTGTGTGTGTGTGTGTGTGTGTGCTTGTGTATGTATGTGTGTGCGTGCGTGTGTTTGCACAGTGAAATATGCTTACTGAGTGGGTCATTGACATTCCGCTCACTAAAATGCTTGTTGAGTGGCACCACTATACAATAACCTGTATAATACATTACACACAGCACTACAACATACACAACATACACAACATACACAACTTTATCACACAAACTCTCATAACCACGCACTTGATTCTAGGGAAAAAAAGCTTTTCACTTCAGTTTTAACAGGTGCCAGGCCGCCTTTATGGACCTCGGAGAACTTTTAGTGTAGTAATTTAAATTCGGAATTTAATGGTTTAAAACACCTGTGGGGTGTTTAAGTGTTTTATGAGTGTGTTTATGTGGTAGTTCTGCTTGTTAGTACAGTGCATTTTGGATGTTGTGTGTGATTTGTGTTTATTGTTGAGTAGAGTGACAAGTGATCTACCCGGTTAAGAGACTTCATATTTCGCAGCTGCTCTCACTATAGTTATATACACTGATATAAACCTCTGTATATATATCCCTCCAAGTGCATATACACTGCAGCTTTCGGTGTATATACAGAATATACAAAGTTTGTGTCGGTGTATGAGATAACGAGGTTTGTATATTTGGTACTTCGTCGTTATGCTCACTGAGTGGATCACTCAGTGTTTACGTTTGTCTTTATGCTGAGTGTGGGGCCCGTTCTTGGTAACGTCCCGTTATGCTAATTAGGAAATGTGTGTGTGTGTGTGTGTGTGTGTGTGTGTGTGTGTATGTACTCACCTAATTGTGGTTGTAGGGGTCGATCCACAGCTCCTGGCCCCGCCTCTTTACTGGTCACTCTCCTTGCTCCATGAGCTTTATCATGCCTCTTTTTAAAGCTGTGTTGGATCCTGCCTCCACTACATCACTCTCCAGACTGTTCCACTTCCTGAAAACTCTAAAAGCTGAAGAAATACTTCCTAACATCCTTGTCACTCAACTGACTTTTCAACTTCCAGTTGTGACCCCTTGGTGCTGCGTCATCTCTGGAACATTATATTCCTATCCACCTTGTTAATTAGTCTCAGTATTTTATATGTTGTTATCATGTCCCTCCTATTCCTCCTGTCCTCCAGTGTCTCCAGGTTGATAATCCTTAGCCTCTCCTCATAAGACCTACCCTTTAGCTCCGGGACTCGTCTTGTTGGAAACCTTTGCACTTTCTCTAATTTCTTGACTTGTTTGTCCAGGTGTGGGTTCCATACTGGTGCTGCATACTCCAATATGGGCCTGACGTACACGGTGTATACACTGTATTGAGCGATTCCTTACTGAGGTGTCGGAACATTACTCTTAGGTTTGTCAGGCGCCCATATGCTGCAGCAGTTATCTGGTTGATGTGTGCCTCCGGAGATATGCTCGGTATTATACTCATGCCAAGATCCTTTTCCTTGAGTGAGGTTTGCAGTCTTATCCCCCTAGACTGTACTCTATCTGCATTCTTCTCTGACCTTCCTCTCTCTTCATGATTTTGCAATTGGTAGGGTTAAACTCCAAGAGCCAGTTGTTTCATCAGAGCTAGCTGTTGCACTGGGGGGTTTGTGGGGCCTGCACCGTACTATGGAAGGCTGCTGTGTAGGTGAGGTTTGTGGTGGGGGCTGTGAGTGTGGGTTGTTTTGTGTTAATACGTTTTGTTGTGAGGTTCTGTGGTTGGTTGTGTGTGCTGCTCCTCCCGACTCAAGCTGTGTCTCACTTACCCCTGGCATCTGTATCCTCTCTCTCAGTTTCTATCGTTCTGTTCTTGTTCTGTCGCAGTCTAGGTACACTTGCTGGGTATTTTGTTGTTTCTTTTATCCATGATTTCTGCTGCAGGATCTTGTTCTGGAACCTTTCTGTCTTGAAAATCAATTTGACCAGACAGTTTTTTCCACTCGAGTATCCTATTCTTTGAAAAATTATCAGCTCAATCATGGTCTCCTCTCCTGCTTGCTTGATGATATTTTTAATCTCTTTTTCCTCTCCCTGTCGTCTTTTTCCAAATGTCCTCCCTGCAGTGTGTGTGTGTGTG